GAAACATGCATAATAGTTTTAAGTCTCTACTGTTGCGTATTTAATGTAATTATAAGTTCTATGTTTTATTAATTGACTATAATGTATATTGATCCAATGAATATGGCCTAATTGAAGCCGAAACGTCTGGATCCTATTTAAATATAATTGCTTTTTGGCTACCAATAACTTGCCTTTGGCTCATTTGCCCTTGATTGTCCATTGTTTTAATATAAGTATGTTAGTAATTGTACAAATATAAAATAGTGTAAATGTAAGTGTGTTAAATATAAAATAGTGTAAATGTAAATGTAAATATGTACATAGCCTAAGGTAACGTCATTGCAGGTTCCAAGCCCTGATGAGAAAGATAAAGGTTTAGGTAACATACGTAATTTTATAGGCTATGTACATATTTACACTTACATATTTATATATTTATACTTATTTTCATTAGTACATTTATTTACACATTTACGTATGTACATTATACAGGGTGTCCCAGAATTTTTAACACAGTGCTCGTATGCAGGTAGAACGGACTAAACTAAGTGGAAAAGTCCTGTACCATTTTGCAATTTTAGCATAGCCTTAGTTTACGAGAAATTAATTGTTATTATATATTATTTATTATTATTATTTATTATATATATTATATATTATTATTATAAAGATTGTATTATAAAGATTATAAAGATTATAAAGATATATAAAGATTGTCGAATCAGTACGTATTTGCCCCGCCTACTGACTTAGAATGGGGCTCCAGCGTTCCGCGCCGCTCGTGAAAAACCATTCCCGCTTGTAGTAAACAACTCCTTGCGCCTAGCAACTCATAAGCACGGTCGTATCTCGCCGCACGCTTGCATTTGGTGGTAGGCCGGGCGAATATGGGCTGATTCGACAATCTTAAATAATTAATTTCTCGTAAACTATTGCTAAAATAATATAAAACTTTTTGATTTAGTTTAATCAGCTCTACTTACATACGAGTATTGTGTTAAAATTTCTGGGACACCCTGTATAAACACGTTATACATATATATTCATTTATTTTTTCATTTTCATTAATATCGTCTTCACTGTGTATATTTAATGGAAAATGATTTCTAAATCCAAAAATGCATGAACTCTTTTAAGCAAATTACACTATCTAGCAAATTTAAATCTGAAACCTCCAATATTCAGATGGCGTTTAAACACACTTGTATTGTGCCAGAATAGTGTGCGGATGCATGCGGACTTGAAGACTTTTTGCGGTATAAAGATAAATAAATAAAATAATAAGTCTTAGAAATAAAAGCAATTAATATTGTTTTGTAGCAATTAGTACTGTTAAACTGTAGGTCCCGTATA